TCGCGGGCTACGATCCGGTCGATGGCGGCGAGCCCATTCCGAACGAAGCCATTCTGGAGCAGCTGCACGCGCTGTCGATGAAAGACGCAACGCTGCAGCATCCCTGGGAGCAAAACGCGCTCGAAATCACGTTTCTGCGGAATTTGATTTGGTCGAAGAACAATACCGAGGCGTTTTTCCACACGAAACTCGTCCTGCTGTACATGAGCAGCATCTCCAGTCTCCAAGAAAACGTGGAAATGTTGCAACGTCGTCGAATTCGATTCGAATCACATGCAGAAAAAATCCAGTCCTTGCAAGAACAGCAGATAACCGCGGAAATAGGAGCCGATCTGGGCGTTGCGGAATCGGGACTGCAGACGTTGCTTCATCAGCGCAACGAAATACTATTCCGCAGCAAGACGGAATTGCTGGAGTTTCTGGAATTGTCGAATTCGTACGACGCGGCGGAATTGCTGCGCTCGTTCCCCGCGGATTCGTTTTTGGAGGAAAAAGCCGTAATCTGATTGGCCGATTTTTGTTGGTAGATCATTCTATCGAAGCTGGGCGAAGATTTGGCGGCATTGGAAATCATTGCGCATCGATTGGGGAATAAAAACATGGCGGAGGCGTACTGCCAGAAAGTGTGGAATTCGAATCGAAACGAGAATATTTTCATTCATTTACTCAAAACGTTTGGGCGTTGAGTCATTCATTCATTGATTAGCTACTTGTTTCCGCCCGAATCCTCGATTTTATCGCGGAACGAGAGTTTGAAGCTCGCCATCGGCGTGTTGACCGATCATTCCGAGTGAGTTTCGTGGAATTCGATTCGAAGTAGCCATGTGAACATCGTGGAAGTGCTGCGGCTTCTCCCAGACGACGTTCCTTTGAACGATGTAAGCGAAGGGAGTCGAGTGGACGGTAGTTAATCGAGAGCATTGAAGTGGTGATGACGAAATTGGAGGAGAACAGGCGAAGCTCGCTGATGCTGAGGCAGTTGGCGGCGGTGCGGAGATTTGACGTGAGCGAGGAGTATATGAGTTTGCGCAATTCGTCGTTCGAGAACACGCCGGTTACGTTCTGTCCGGTTTGTAATCGAGTGCTCGGTGATTCCGTGTTTACGTTGTTCCCGGACGGCGTGGCGATGCATGCTGCGTGTGCTCGACAGCATTCGATGGAGTGAAGGATTTGTATCTTTGCGTATCATTGTTTGTTTGTTTGTTTGTTTGAAAATGAGAGGGATGAAGGGTGTGGAAAGGTGAGAGTATATAAAACTTGGAGGAAAACAAGAAACCAAAAAGAATGCAAACAATGAGCCGAATCGCATGAAGAGACATGGAACAAACCCCATTCCTCTCAACAGAGCATGTTCAGCACTTTGCACCACGTTGGAATCAAAACAAACACTTCATTGTCGAAAAACTGTATTCATGAAGTTTACATGGAAATCATTTCGGATCGTGTCGTTTATAAACCGCTTTGGCCGTTTCTCGGTCTTTCCTTGATTTCGGAACACCACGTCATCGTCCCATCTTCAACTCATTCCCATTCCAATTCAAAACCTTCGCTTTAACGTATCTCCCGTATTAAATAGCAACGGGTTCGAGTGAATCATCTCCTCGCGATTGAGAGCCGCCTCCATCTGCGCCTTTTCTTCTTCCTATCGTTCATCCAACAAATCAAAATCACTTCTTTCTGCTTGGCCAATTCCTTCTCTTTCTTTACGCGCTCTAATTCTTTCATCAGCAAGGCAGTATCGTCTTCTCTATGATTTGGAAAGAACACTAAAGCATTCAAACGAGTCTGATTCGGAAGATGATTCCTCGCTGTCGCTCTCGTCAGAATCGTCAAAATCACCAAAATCATCGTTCACTTTTGGCTCGGGTTTTTGTAAAACTACGGGAAGCTCTTTTTTCACCTCATCTTCTTCTTCTACACGATTTTGAATCTAACGTTATTCTACTTTCTTTTGGCTTGATGTCTTGAGGCGGTTTGACCTCGGGAATCACTTCTCTGTGGGTCAATTTTCGAAAAACAGCAAACCTACCTCATTTTCAACTTCAAATGTCCGGGAAGATCCTTTGCCGAGAAGTGCATACTCAAACTGCCTACACTTGAGCGACCTCGCCCATCTCCCACCTCCCGTCAGATATCCGGAAGAGGAAATCGCCCCATTCCCCGTTCCTCGTCCAGCAGCCGGAGTCCACGTAGGTTTGTGCGCAGTAGACATTTTCTGCGTTTTCAACAAACACCCCGTAAATGACATCCTAATCCAATCTACGTGTCCTTCAAACACACCTTCTCCCCATTCCGCGATTACAACTTCTTCTGCTTCACCGCATCATCTCTCATCGCTTCCAGCTTATCAAAATAGCTCTGATCGACGCCTCCCGTCACCTACACCTCACTCTCCCCCTCCTGCCCCACATAGTCCCCATCAAAGCACGAGCACTCGAACGCCTCGGGCGCCGGTCCATCTACTCATCACCGCTTTTTCCTCGCTTCTACACAGCGCCGCATCGCGACACGCCCGCTTCAAGTCCTCCAAGCTCTGATACAGCACGAAATCCGCTCCGATCGCGGCGGCCACCTCCTTCTCGGTCTTGTTAAACGCGATTAACTCGCGTCGCGTCGGCATATCGATCCCGTACACGTTGCAGAACCGAATCGGCGGCGCAGCCGACGCTACAAACACGTGCTTCGCTCCCGCGCGACGAATCGCCTCCACCAGCATCATCGTCGTGTTGCCTCGCACGATCGAGTCGTCCACCACCAGCACCGACAGTCCCTTCACCGCGTCCTAGACAAAAATCGGGGCTTTTTTTGGAATACATGGATGGGGTTGTGCTTGATGCGGATGTTCTTCTGCCGCATCTGCTGCGCGGGCATGATGAACGTGCGCGCCACGTACCGGTTCTTCGACAGTCCTTCGATGTACCGCTTCCCCAGACTCGTCGCCACCTGCATCGAAATCCCCGCGGAACCCTACCGAAATCGCGGTGTGGCGCGACGTGTCCGGCACCGCCATCACGCAGTCGATGATCTGCTCCAGCGGAGGCAGCGTCGCGTCGTACCCGGCCTCTGCAGGCTCCAGAACGTCCAGAGTTTGGTCGTGTTGGCGGACGCGGAGCGTTCGCAGCCGCTCGGCGAGGCGGATTCCCATCTGCACGCGCGCTTCGTAGACCGAGATGTTGTCCATCACGCTGTCCGGACGCGCCAGATAGACGTATTCGAAGATGCACGGCGAGTGGGTCTGCGCCAGAGCGTCGATGTGCGAGTGCAGACGCATCTCCATGTCGATGAACAGCGCTTCGCCCGCGGCAACGTCGCGTTCTCGGTCGATTCCGATCGCTTCCAGCGCGATGCTCTCCGAAGCCGCCGCGAATTCCACGATGCGGCCCGCGTCGTCGCGTTTCACGCCGAAGCAGAGCGGGCTGGAGTGAGAATTCGATTGGAAGCGTACCGAATCCCGTGGGGATCGCGGAAAATCAGCATGCCGACGCCTTTGATCAGCACCACGACCGCGTAGCCGCCGAGGACTTGCGCCATCGTGGCGTGGACGGCGTCGAAGAGCGTGGAGACGGAGGGCTTGGGGATCTGTCCGGAGGCAGCGGAGGAGCGGTCGATGCGATGCTCCAATTCATCGGCGAACATGTTCAGAAGGAGCTCGCTGTCCTGCGAGAGAGGGGGAGAGGAAAGAGCTACGCTCGTGGTGTTGATGCAGCGGAGGTTGCAGAGCAGTTTCGCACGGAGATCGTCGCAGTTGATGAGATTGCCGTTGTGGGCAAGGGAAATGCCGTACCTGCGTGAGATTCAATTTGAAAACGTACGGGTAGTTGGTGTAGAAGGGCTGGGCCTCGTTACTGTCCGGGGAACCAGCAGTGGGATAGCGAACGTGACCCAAACCATAATAACCACGCAGCTTGGTTAGATTATTTTGGTTGAAGACTCTACATTTATTAGCAAGCAGAATAAACAACTCGGAAACCAAACCGTTATCCTTGACCGTAATAACCTGTTCTCCGTCACACGTTGTAATTCCGCAAGCATCTACACTTCAGATTTTGCTAGGAAAACGGACCTTGGCCACGATGTTGTAACATCGTCAAAGCGGTGTTAATCGGTCCGGCAACATGAATATTACAGTCGGGGTTTGTGAAATAGCAGATAATTCCACACATCTTCAGAATCAAAATAAAGGAAGGAAACTGCTTGCCAAAAACCCGCAAGAATTTCAAAGATTCCGCGGACTATTATATTATACTTGGATGAATTGTGTTTTGGATTGTGGAAAGAGAGCATGGAGACGAATAGGAATGGAGGGAGGAAATGGGGGAGGAAGGAAAACGACTTTGCTAGAGATGCACTGAAAGTGGGTAAACGATTCACGTTATCGCAACAAACAATCGTATTCTTCAAACAAAATAAACGCTGCTCTTCCAGACCAACAGCTTGTCTTCAGTCGAGTATTGTACACACAGTCATATACAAACACACACCCTTTCGATAATTTGGTCAACTCGATCACATGCAACTTGTTCTGTGCAGAAATCGGCATCTACCCTTCATTCCCATTCTTATTCCCTACAGACAACGAATTCGTCACTGCCACATCCTGAATCGGGCTTGGCTCACCCTCATCCCACACCACCATCTTCTGCTTGTCATTCAAGCCACACACAAATCTATCATTCAGCTCATCAGCCATTCCTTACATCTGGTGAATCGAATTCACGCCTTCGATGCGAGCCACCACTTCATACATCAACTTCAGTGTGGCTCCCACTTTCGCCTGGTACTTTCGCATGGGTCCTTGCATGGAGAACTTCATGGTTTCTCCCTGCGGACTTTTGATCGCCATTTCCACGAAGCGTTTTCGCTCGCTGTCGGGAATAAGGAATTTGTCTTTGAGCGATTGGAAGGACAGGAGCTCGGACAGCGGCAAAAAGCCCGATTTCTTGCCAAACCCGCTGCTCCAGAAAACAAACACGTTTCGAAATGCTTCACTAATACTCATCTTTCCTTGCTTCAGCGTTCGCGTGAGTTCCATTGCGAGATTGATCGACGCGTCTTTCTCCACGCCGTTCACTTGCAGAATAATCATTTCGTTTTCGCTGATTGCTTTGTTGGTTGTCGTCGAACTCGCTGGTTTGTTGAGTGAAGTCGCTTCTGCTGTTGCTGTTGCTGTTGCTGTTGCTGTTGCTTTGGTCTGTTCGAAGCTCTGATTGCAGAGCTGCAGCGCGAGTTCGAGGGCTGTGACGTCGACCTTTCAGTGCCACGCAATCATCCTATTTATACTTTTTGTGGTTATGATAATAGTGGTCTTGTATATAAATACTTTGTGAGGGATGAAAGAGTTTATAGGTGTAATACCTGATGCTTTTTTACCCAATACTTCACATTTCTCATTCCTTCAAATGAGAATTGCAATAGCGTAGGTACCCTGATATAAGGTTCAATATGAATAGAACGGTCACACAAGTATCTTCTATTGTCTACAACAAACAAAAAACAGAAGGTTTGATAGATAGTAGAATCTCAGGTATCATCAGAATATCACCTGATTAGAGCGCCATTCCAGCTGCTGTAGCAGCAAATGTAGCTCCAGCACTTTGAAGGGCTGATATTGCCCCAACTCCAATTCCAGATGTCCAAGCAGCACTCATCAATGACGCCGCCGTAGAACCGGCGGCGATACCAGGGGAACCAAATCCTAAAGCATATGCAGCTGCACCAAGAATAAAACTCATTTTAAAACTTTTTTTGATTTGACATACAACATTTCCAATCTGAACAAATGGAATTGCAAAAATCGGGCAACTCCTACCTCATTATTTTTAATAATAGATTTGTGTTTATGACCGAGTATAAGAAAAGTATTTGTATCTTTTATGAATCAAAGAATGATAGAGGGATTATGTAATGTGCATGAATTCTGATATTATGGTTATTTTTGAGTAGATAATGAAGTATACTTTTGGTATTATACAGAATTAGTGAACTAGAATGATCATATAGTTAAATCAACTCAAAGTCCTTTTGCTTGCAGCTAATTGAATATCGTTTCGTTTGTGAATAGACTAGGACTTATAAATTTAGAATTCTTGATATCTGTCTCATCACTACAAATTGACAACATTTATCATAAGATTAATAAACTGTAATATGAGAAATTAGGCAAAATTGAAGAAATGTGTCAAAGTCATCATACATCTATCACACTTGGCAAGTGAAATGATATTATGGATTAATATGGATTAAAATACTTGATCAGTAGATACATAACCAAATGCAAGAACAGAGACGCGAATAACATCAAACACCAATTTTGACAGACAAATAACAATGGACAACAAAAATACTTCAAATAGAAGTAAGACAATTCAAGGCAACATTAAGTATAGATATTGAACTAGTTCCTGTAGGAGCAATAATAAAGAGAGAGAGAACACAGGAGATGATTGGTCGGAATACAATGTGAATGAGTAGTTTCCAGTAAAATCATTAGCAAAAACTAATGGAAAAGTTAATATAGAAGTAGGAAAACCTCATGAAGGTTGTGTCATTAGTATAACCCTTAAAAAATACAAAAAATGGATGGTTAGTCAAGCATTTGTACAGATTTGGGTGTCTTGATTGCATCGTTGACTTTTGTGGATAGAATTGCCACGGGACCTTGTACTATTTGTGATTATAGTTATTTATACTTCGAAGGATATTTTGTAAATGGATATCGAAAAGGAAGAGGAAAGGAATATGACCAAAACAGAAAATTGGTATCTGATGGATACTATTCGAAAGGCCAATATTAAATGTGGTGTTATGTGAAGAAATGAGAAAAGGATATTGGAAAGAATATAATATAATGGTAAATTGTTTCGATAATTTCCAAAAAATGATTCCAGTGATTATCATAAGATCAGTTACTTTTACAACTGTGGGCAGATAAGGAGTGTTAGGTTATGGAAGAAAGGGAAGGAAACGAAAATATTGAAGCAATTCAGTGGTGGAAGTATGACGGAATACAAAAATGACGAAAGAGTTTATAAAGGAGGTTACTTAGATAATGATGAACTGGATTTCCAAGATATGAAGAGGGTGAAAAAATAGGAAATGGTGGAAAGAAAGGGATAGTTAAGGGATATTATAAAATGGATTACGCCATGTGAAGGGGCTAAATACAGAAATGGTGTTACAAATAGAAAACAACAATGGATATTGGGATACACA